GGCGGAGCAGGCGGTGGATGTGGATAATAGCCCACCTATGGTGTCCAGGTCCGAGGTCCTGCAGGAAGAAAGGACGCCCCCCGGGGACCCGCAGCCAACTCAAGGAAGTGGCCTGGCTGGCTTTTGTCTAATGCGGCGCTTATCTCGATATTATTTGGCCATAAAAAAAAAGGACACGGACACATGTCATTTGTTATGTGGCCAGTTTAACGAAGGGAGTGGACAACACTCGACGAAAAATCATAGTTTCTTTACTAGGAAAGGTAAGTCTTGAGAGATTTTACATGATAAACTTAAAGTTTTTACTTTATATATAATATAAGAGCTCATTCCTAGAAACATATTCCTAAGAAAATTTTTTGTTTCAACGAACTTTGATTTAGATTTGATTTTTCCAAAGTGTAATTCAGATTTTCTGTCTCAGAGAAAATGCAAAATATTCCATAAAAGCTAGAAATCGAAACACCACCAAGAAAGCCGACACCAAGATGCCCTGCCATTAGAATATTTTTCGATTCAGCAGCCATCCTTCGGCTGAAACCGAATCCTCCAGCATAGAAGAGAGAACCCATTCCATTTCGAAGGACAAAGAAAATTGCAACATTTCACATGTCACAACGAGGGCGATTTCCCAAACCATAATAAAATGGACCATATCGAATCCTGCGGGTTCCGTTGATTTCCTCGCTCCTCGCCCCCTTGGAAAAAACACAAAAATAACAAAATAACCCAGTGAGCCAGCCACGCGCGTTTCAAATCCCTTTAGTTACAGTGTTTCAAAATTAAATATTTACATTTTGGATGCGAACGCGGAGGCGGATGCGGATGCGGATGCGGCGGGCATGAGGCCTCGGAATCTCGATTCACATGTGGGTGTTTTTGGCCGATGAATGGTGGTATCTAGATGCTGGATACTGGCCATCTAATAGGTGGTGGCTAAAAGTCCGTCAGCTGTCAGTGGACACTTGTCGTGGACAGGGACAGGGACAGGGAGAGGGATTATCTAACAGTTCAGGGGATATATTATATATCCAGTAATATAAATATTTGTAAAGTTCACAGCATTTTGGAGGTAGCATTCCTTCTGGAAAACTAAGAAATAACTTAAAACTTACATAGATCATTTCCTATACTGATAAGCATCTTGTAGTATCACTTGAAAAGTTTTTAAGGTTTCTTTTTAATAACATTTATAACTTTTCATTTTCATTTCTTTCAGTACATAAACAACTATTGTTGGACCCCTTGAAGAACGCCACTGTCTGTCACATATGAGTTTAGAGCATCAATTCCCCCGTTGAACGGCTGAGGGGGTGGCCACCATCCAGTTGGCGATGCGCGTTTATTTAGTAATTTGTTTGTCTACCGACTTAGTCACGGTTTATGGTTGACATTTATTTTATGAGCGTGAAAAATATATCACTCGCCCATGGCAACCATCCACAATGGGATATCAGGCAGGTGGCTGCACCACCACCACCACCACTACCCACCCACTTGCACCACTTAAGCCAATTTTGATAGCGGTTTATTGATGGTCGTGCGATGGACGATGGAAGATGGGCGATTTGTGCGTTAGTCTCGCCCGAGTTTGCTGATTGAATCAGTGCGGTTGAGAATGAGATCGATGGGCTTCTCCTGGTATATAGCCAATATCCTTGGCCGGATGAGTCACGGCAAATATCTCCGATTTGCAATGGGTGAGTTGCATGTTTTTGTTCAACTATTTAGTGCAATATATCTTAAATCTATATCATTGTGGAACTTAAAGAATGGTTTTATTGTTAAACTAAGAAGTTTTCTTTTCCATTTTAACTTAAAGATGCAGAACCTTTAGAAGTATTTTCCGCTGTTCAAAAGTCCTCGAATTTTCTCTTCGTGTGGCACTTCCTTTAGCCAGTATTGTTAACCGCTTTTAAGCGCATCAATTATGCCAGGAGGCTCCTTAGAAACTTATTGGCCTATAAACTAATCGCATAATTGCACAAAAGTAATTATCCTTGGGCTGAGCCTCGGCTAGCTTATTGTGTAGCAACTATGCGGCATATATCCTATATCCTGCATCCTTAGTGCTTAGCCCTTAGTCCTTATCCCCTGGCGCTCTGATTTTTCCACCTTGCTGGCCAACTATGCGGCTCATCCGCTCCGCTGAACGCCGCCAGAAGGAAGTGCCGTGTAGGACCCAAATCGCAGGACGCAGAATGTTGAAAGCAGAATGCAGGACTCAAAAAACGCTGGCAAAACAGTTGGAAAAACACAACAAGCCGAAACAACAACAAAAACAAACACACAAGGACATTGCCTTTGTTTGCAGAAAGCGAAAGAGAGGTGAAATTAAAATCAAGCTGTTGATAGCAATCACACACTCGAGGCTGCTCGAAATGGATAAATGCACAGCTAGAAATACTTACTTTCGATGTTTCTCAAAAATAAAGCCGTTTAAATTTTTCTTTATTACGTATTTAAACTAAATATTTTATTAAGAATATAAATCTCATCTAATCATACTAAGGAATTCATAACTTATTACATTTTTATTTCAGTGTAGATGTCCTGGCTGTCCTTTCTACAATTTCGATGGCGATGTGATGGCTGATGGCCGAGAGAGAGAGAGAGAGTGGGATGCATTCATCACTAGCAGTCACATGGCCAACTGCTTTGGCTTCCGGCTTTCGATGGCCAGAAGAGAATCGCCGAAGCTGAGAATCAGCGACTGTCATTCATCATTCCATTTACTGGATGCATGCCTTTTCTTCAGCTCTCATGGATCTCTACAATCTCCGCCTCTTCATCTGCATCTCGGGAAACTATGGCAAGGTAAGGCAAATAAAAGTAGTTAGGGTTGACATCCTGAAGTGGCCCAGTAGTGGCTTTGTTGTTCGTCCGATTTGTGTTTGTCGAGCGTGCAGTAATTAAGTTGAAGTTGCACAGCAGATCCCCGATAAGCATTGGGATCAGGATGCGGCCACGTTGGTTAGGGATAATCCCCCGAAAGGATCGACAGGACGTTTTACCCGTCGATCCTTTGTGCCTCTTTCTGAACATCAATCGGGGCAATCGGATTGACATTTTTAGATCGCCGGATCAGTATCTGTTAATTTCAGCAAAACGATAGTGAACTCAGGGTAATTGCTTTGTAAGGGATCTTTTAATTAAGGAGGCATCTTTTTTTGATCTAAGTAATTAAGGATTTAAAGTTAGTAGAATAATAAGATATAGATCACATTCTATAAAGGAACATTACAGTTGTCAAGTCAAGTCTAAGTATGTTTAAGAATTAATCCTTAACTACTGAGAAATGCAAAGCTCTTGGACTCCAACGATAATGATATTAATCGACTTTTGCCTAGTCATTAACTATCGATATTTGCTCTGTAGAACGGTAAAGATCAGCAATGAAGATCACTCTATTCTCCCCCTCCCTCATTTCTCCTTTAATTCTCGGCTTTTGCGGCCAATTAGCTGATGCCACAAAATGAAATCATTTCTCACAGCTATTGTTGGCTGGGCAAAAGTAATTAATTGCCAGTGGATTTTTTTCCCTCTTGCAACTCGGCTACCTTCGGTTGAGTGATTCTCCAAAACGGACAGCCAATCGAAGCGAGAGTCGGTCTCTGCAAGTAAAAAAAAAAATAAGACTAAAGACTAAAAACTGAAGACCGCAGAATTGGACGGAAGACTGGGCCCGAAGACTGCGCCTGAAGAAGGCTGCGATTGCAACCGAGAGAAGCGCATACTTTCCAAGGCAATTATCGAATGCCAGCGTGTCAGCCTCGACTCCCGATTCTCTGGTTCCCCGTTTCGTCCAGATCCATCCGTTTCTTCAGTCTTGGTAGATTCTCTACTGCTCTACCAGAGTCGCCAGGGCGTCGCCGTCGGTTGGGTTGAAGCGGGACTTTCGGCCCGTCTGCAGTTTCAGTTTCCCTGACGCCAACAACGCCTCATCGTGTTCGTTTGGCCGCCAGAGCCGTCAGAGCCGCCACCGCAGCGACGCCAGCAGTAACAGCACCACCACTAACAGCACCACCACTAGCACCACCAGCACCACAACCAACGCCACCATACTAACACACGATGCCTGACGCTCTGAATGATAGTGTTGAACATCTGGCCTTTTTCGATAGATATATCCTTCGATATATATTCAATACTTTCCTTATAAATGTTGATATCATAAGCATATTAAGAAGTTGTTGACTTTAAGAAAAACAACTTGTAAATTATTTATGTTCTTATTAGTTTTTGTACTCAATTGATCACTTTTTAAGTACATATAAAAGTGATTCTTATTCACGATAATACAAAGATATAGCTTTTCCTTATATTCCAGGTGTATCCTTGTCATCTCTGGCTGGTTAAATGGCTCTACGCAACTGCAACTCTTTCGTTGCCCCAAATTGGCCTTGAGGCAATGATTGGCTGCCGCTGCTGCCCAGATGCCAGCACCACCACCGCCTCCTCACCGTTCTCCTGTCTCTCGCCCTCCCCCCTTGTTGCGTTTCTTTCGCACTGATCTCAGCTGTCGTCGCTTGTTAGTGCAGACGCGTGTCTTTTCCTCTCTCTCTAAAAACCAGGCACCATGTGTGTTCCCCTCTCTTTTGCGCCAACTGCCTGCCTCAACGACCCCCCTCCAGCTCACTGCTCTAGCCCTCCTGCTCGCACTCGTATTGGCATTAGCGTGAGGCGTTGATGGCGATGGCGCTGAAGCTGGCGCGCATGCGCAACGCAACCACAAAATCGCAATTGCCGGGGCCAAAAACCAAAATGAAAAAAATAAGAAAAAAAGAAAACTGAAAAAATAAAGGCAACAAAAAAGCTGAGCTGGCACAACGTTGTAAGACATAGTTTGTTGCCAGCCTCCCCCCCATCACCCCACACCCCTGTGTTTGTGTGTGCGGGACCTCCCGCAGATAATTGCCCATCATCTCATCAAGTTCCGCCCAGCTATTTAGCAACCGGGGAGCTGGAAGAGGAGGATCGGAGGGGGTTTCTCGAGAGCAATGAAACCCACAAAACAAGACACCAAAATGATGAACGCGACCACGCAAAGTAGAAGTAGCTGCCCGATCTGGGGAGTCCGAGGACGGAGTCTGGCTCCAGACTATTAGATCCCGAGCCCTCGTAATCGAGGGCTGATCCATGAGTTGTCGTCCATTTCGAAATTAATGGTAAGTGTTGATTTTTGTCTTTATTTTTAAACAGCTATGAATTACTTAACTTATGAAGCCTAGTAAGTAATGGTAAGTTTTGGGGAAATTAAATACATGTCAATAGTTATAAATAACTTAAATTAGTCTATGTAATATCGCAAGTGGTTGTAGAACTTAAATGGTATTCTGATATACATATTATAGGATTCCTGAAACTTTTGGAGCGGCCTTAGGCTGGCGCCACCAACGTTCAGCAGCAGCTTGGGGCGGCGGCTGCAGATCGGCTCCAAATCGCACAAGTCGAGGTTGCAGCTTCACTCCAACCACCCGGCATCAATAGCACCACCGACGACGAAAAAGACGGAGACGACCAAGGAGAACCAAGCACGTTAATCGAGTCATATCGATTTTGGCGTGGTTCGTGTCTCGGACGTTTTACCCAACCACCGCCCTCCATCCAGCGCCACAACCCCCACCATCCCTGAAAAAAAGAGAGGGAGGGGCCGATCCCATCAGCGGACTCGTAACTAAATTGAATCCAATTGCAGACGAGCCGGACCAAATAACTGTGAGACATAATGAATGAGTGTTGGCCAAATTGCAACTTGGCTTGCCAGCCGACCCGTTAAGGGTTAATGGGTGGGCGCCAACGGGGCTTAAAGGGGTCCAGGGGAGGGTGCTCTGCATCTTCAGCTTGATAGCAATGCCACTAATATCTCAATTCGCCAGTGAAAGGTTCAACAAACTGCTGAACGGGCCACCCACCTGGGGGCCCAACACCTGTCCTTGATGATGTTCCTGGACTCGCAGTAAGTTTAAATTTGCACTTTTTATTCTGAACTTTAGTTTACCAAATCATTTTTTCTCTGCAGGCGACCAAGTCAGTGAATTATACCTCTGCTACTTACACAAGGAATTATTAAAAATCGGTAAGTTATCCCAGGGAATGATACTCGTATCTCACATTTAAACGATTTTCTGGGTTATTGAAAAAAGAGCCCAAAATATTATCACGCCCATTTTTGTCAATGTTGTTGGAAAAAAACTTGAACTTTAAGTGCAAAGTCAGAATGCAGCCGGTTTTTTAGCTCTAGTTCGGCCAAAACAAGACGCACAGCCAAAAGAACGACTGTTTTGTGCTGCTAACGACCAATACTTACCACCCCTATCACTCGTTTTTCGATTTTGGGAAAATCAATTTTGGCCCAAATTTCGCATTTTTGATAAGGGGTACCATCATCAAAATTTCCAAAATACGGCCAAAAATTTAGTTTTCCATATTTGAGTGCAAACCAATTGGGAATCATTGCAATCAAGTTACGAGCCCTACGAGGTATTACATTCCTAGTTTGGGCCATTTTTGGCTTTGGTATTGCAAAAAAACTGATTTTTTTATGCCGAAAAGTATGTTAAGTCTTTTAGCAGCAGAGATTCCGGTTTCCTTGCCGTTTCTTAGCTTTAACTTTCTCAAAACAAGCCCCATCACTAAAACAATGACTGTTTTATACAGCTAACTACCGACTCTTAACAATCCTATACTTACTTTTATCATTATTGTTCTGCTTTTTCGGTGCGAGCTCTGTTTTAAGGGCTGAAAAATCAGGAAACCGATTTTTAGAGAAATTTGCAACTTTTTTTGGGGTTTTTAGCTCTAGTTCGGCCAAAACAAGACGCACAGCCAAAAGAACGACTGTTTTGTGCTGCTAACAACCAATACTTACCACCCCTAAAGTCAATTTTGGCCCAAATTTCGCATTTTTGATAAGGGGTACCATCATCAAAATTTTCAAAAAACGGCCAAAAATTAAGTTTTCCAGATTTGAGTGCAAACCAATTGGGAATCATGGCAACCAAGTTACGAGCCCTACGAGGTATTACATTCCTAGTTTGGGCCATTTTTGGCTGTGCTATGGCCAGAAAACTGATTTTTTTGCCCCCAAAATATCGTATACGTCGGGTGACAGCGAGATGCCGGCTTTTTTGCCGTTTCTTAGCTCTAACTTTGTAAAAACGAGCCGCATAGCTAAATCAATGACTGTTTTGTGAAGCTAACTACCGAAATTTAGAACCCCTATACTTACTTTTATCATTATTGTTCTGCTTTTTCGGTGCGAGCTCTGTTTTAAGGGCTGAAAAATCAGGAAACCCATTTTTAAGAGAAATTTGCAACTTTTATTGGGGTTTTTAGCTCTAGTTCGGCCAAAACAAGACGCACAGCCAAAAGAACGACTGTTTTGTGCTGCTAACGACCAATACTTACCACCCCTATCACTCGTTTTTCGATTTTGAGAAAGTCAATTTTGGCCCAAATTCCGCATTTTCGATAAGGGGTACCATCATCAAAATTTTCAAAAAACGGCCAAAAATTAAGTTTTCCATATTTGAGTGCAAACCAATTGGGAATCATGGCAATCAAGTTACGAGCCCTACGAGGTATTACATTCCTAGTTTGGGCAATTTTTGGCTTTGGTATTGCAAAAAAACTGATTTTTTTATGCCGAAAAGTATGTTAAGTCTTTTAGCAGCAGAGATTCCGGTTTCCTTGCCGTTTCTTAGCTTTTACTTTCTCAAAACAAGCCCCATGACTAAAACAATGACTGTTTTATACAGCTAACTACCGACTCTTAACAATCCTATACTTGCTTTTATCATTATTGTTCTGCTTTTTCGGTGCGAGCTCTGTTTTTAAGGGCTGAAAAATCAGGAAACCGATTTTTAGAGAAATTTGCAACTTTTTTTGGGGTTTTTAGCTCTAGTTCGGCCAAAACAAGACGCACATCCAAAAGAACGACGGTTTTGTGCTGCTAACGACCAATACTTACCACCCCTATCACTCGTTTTTCGATTTTGAGAAAGTCAATTTTGGCCCAAATTCCGCATTTTCGATAAGGGGACCATCATCAAAATTTTCAAAAAACGGCCAAAAATTAAGTTTTCCAGATTTGAGTGCAAACCAATTGGGAATCATGGCAATCAATTTACGAGCCCTACGAGGTATTACATTCCTAGTTTGGGCCATTTTTGGCTGTGCTATGGCCAGAAAACTGATTTTTTTTGCCCCCAAAATATCGTATACGTCGGGTGACAGCGAGATGCCGGCTTTTTTGCCGTTTCTTAGCTCTAACTTTGTAAAAACGACCCGCATAGCTAAATCAATGACTGTTTTGTGAAGCTAACTACCGAAACATAGAACCCCTATACTTACTTTTATCATTATTGTTCTGCTTTTTCGGTGCGAGCTCTGTTTTAAGGGCTGAAAAATCAGGAAACCCATTTTTAAGAGAAATTTGCAACTTTTATTGGGGTTTTTAGCTCTAGTTCGGCCAAAACAAGATGCACAGCCAAAAGAACGACTGTTTTGTGCTGCTAACGACCAATACTTACCACCCCTATCACTCGTTTTTCGATTTTGAGAAAGTCAATTTTGGCCCAAATTTCGCATTTTTGATAAGGGGTACCATCATCAAAATTTTCAAAAAACGGCCAAAAATTAAGTTTTCCAGATTTGAGTGCAAACCAATTGGGAATCATGGCAATCAAGTTACGAGCCCTACGAGGTATTACATTCCTAGTTTGGGCAATTTTTGGCTTTGGTATTGCAAAAAAACTGATTTTTTTTATGCCGAAAAGTATGTTAAGTCTTTTAGCAGCAGAGATTCCGGTTTCCTTGCCGTTTCATAGCTTTAACTTTCTCAAAACAAGCCCCATCACTAAAACAATGACTGTTTTATGCAGCTAACTACCGACTCTTAACAATCCTATACTTACTTTTATCATTATTGTTCTGCTTTTTCGGTGCGAGCTCTGTTTTAAGGGCTGAAAAATCAGGAAACTCATTTTTAAGAGAAATTTGCAACTTTTATTGGGGTTTTTAGCTCTAGTTCGGCCAAAACAAGACGCACAGCCAAAAGAACGACTGTTTTGTGCTGCTAACGACCAATACTTACCACCCCTATCACTCGTTTTTCGATTTTGGGAAAATCAATTTTGGCCCAAATTTCGCATTTTTGATAAGGGGTACCATCATCAAAATTTTCAAAAAACGGCCAAAAATTAAGTTTTCCATATTTGAGTGCAAACCAATTGGGAATCATGGCAATCAAGTTACGAGCCCTACGAGGTACTACATTCCTAGTTTGGGCAATTTTTGGCTTTGGTATTGCAAAAAAACTGATTTTTTTTATGCCGAAAAGTATGTTAAGTCTTTTAGCAGCAGAGATTCCGGTTTCCTTGCCGTTTCTTAGCTTTTACTTTCTCAAAACAAGCCCCATGACTAAAACAATGACTGTTTTATACAGCTAACTACCGACTCTTAACAATCCTATACTTGCTTTTATCATTATTGTTCTGCTTTTTCGGTGCGAGCTCTGTTTTAAGGGCTGAAAAATCAGGAAACCGATTTTTAGAGAAATTTGCAACTTTTATTGGGGTTTTTAGCTCTAGTTCGGCCAAAACAAGACGCACAACCAAAAGAACGACTGTTTTGTGCTGCTAACGACCAATACTTACCACCCCTATCACTCGTTTTTCGATTTTGGGAAAATCAATTTTGGCCCAAATTTCGCATTTTTGATAAGGGGTACCATCATCAAAATTTCCAAAATACGGCCAAAAATTTAGTTTTCCATATTTGAGTGCAAACCAATTGGGAATCATTGCAATCAAGTTACGAGCCCTACGAGGTATTACATTCCTAGTTTGGGCCATTTTTGGCTGTGCTATGGCCAGAAAACTGATTTTTTTGCCCCCAAAATATCGTATACGTCGGGTGACAGCGAGAGGCCGGCTTTTTTGCCGTTTCTTAGCTCTAACTTTGTAAAAACGAGCCGCATAGCTAAATCAATGACTGTTTTGTGAAGCTATCTACCGAAACTTAAAACCTCTATACTTACGTTTATCATTATTGTTCTGCTTTTTCGGTGCGAGCTCTGTTTTAAGGGCTGAAAAATCAGGAAACCCATTTTTAAGAGAAATTTTCAACTTTTATTGGGGTTTTTAGCTCTAGTTCGGCCAAAACAAGACGCACAGCCAAAAGAACGACTGTTTTGTGCTGCTAACGACCAATACTTACCACCCCTATCACTCGTTTTTCGATTTTGGGAAAATCAATTTTGGCCCAAATTTCGCATTTTTGATAAGGGGTACCATCATCAAAATTTTCAAAAAACGGCCAAAAATTAAGTTTTCCATATTTGAGTGCAAACCAATTGGGAATCATGGCAATCAAGTTACGAGCCCTACGAGGTATTACATTCCTAGTTTAGGCAATTTTTGGCTTTGGTATTGCAAAAAAACTGATTTTTTTATGCCGAAAAGTATGTTAAGTCTTTTAGCAGCAGAGATTCCGGTTTCCTTGCCGTTTCTTAGCTTTTACTTTCTCAAAACAAGCCCCA